GCCCATCATTTCCCCTGGTGATATCAAAAAGAGTAGCCAACGTGGGGTAGGAGTCATTTCACTATGAAGCCCATCTTCTGAAGAAATAGGGGCCTGGCATGCAGAGCTGAAAAATCAAATATTTAAGAGATATTAGACTTTTTAGGGGGAAAAGTCCTTAAAGCCAGCTACTTTCCCTGGGACCAGGCCTCCCCAAGACTCCTAACCCCGCCACTTTCCCACTGTGTGACTTTAGACAAGTCACTCAACTGCTCTGAGCTTCTGTCTCTTCATCTGTATAGCGTATCTAATTATGGCTGCTTCATGAGGATATTATGAGGGGCCTGTGTGGTCCTGTATGAGAAGCACTTAGCATGGGCTTGGCGTGTGGGAAGAGCTGAGAAATGGTCACTGTCAACATCATCATCACCATCGTATTCATTGTCGTTGTTAGGCACATACTGGAGAGAGGTTCTGGGGTGTCCTTCCTCCCTGGGGCAGCATGAGCAGCAACAAGCCCCCAGGGGAACAGAGACTGTGGGAGAGTATGGAGTTCTGGCCCGCTCTGTCTGGCCCCAGCAGGCATAGGGGCCCTCGGCTCATGACCTGGAGCTTGACTCCTGGGAAATTCGTTTGCTATTGGTCTGTGGCATGGGCCACTGCCTTTGGAGCTGGTCTTTCGGAGCAGAAGCCAGCCAGCTCTGTGCACCGACTCTGCCCGCAGTGCTGGACGTGAACGACGAGACGCCCACCTTCTTCCCGGCCGTGTACAACGTCTCCGTGTCCGAGGACGTGCCACGGGAGTTCCGGGTGGTCTGGCTGAACTGCACCGACAACGACGTGGGCCTCAATGCCGAGCTCAGCTACTTCATCACAGGTGTGCCCTGCCTCCCCCTGCGGCATGTGCAGCCAGCCTGGGGTGGGGCCGGGGGACAGGGAAGAGGCCCCCGTTGGCCACCAGGATTTAGCCCCTGTGGAGCCTCCCTGAGGATTTGCTCTTGACCCTTCCCAGGGGCTTTGTGGCTGGGTTCCTCTGCTCTGGTTCTGGGGGCCTCCTGAACCTATTGGAGGTAGGGGGAACTTACTGAGGTTTAGTCCAGGGAGAGGTGGAGCCAGTGACTCCTACGGAGGAGGCTTGCCCCCACTGCACCCCACACCAGGGTGATGAAGCAGTGACTGGAGGAATGTGGCCTCGTCCTTCCCTGAGGAACTTTACTCATGAGAATTCCCATCTGTTTAGAGGCAGATGGTTGAGATCTCTCTAAATGAAATGGTGTTAGCTCAAAAATGTCGTGTAGCTACCACCTGGAGAGCTGTGGAGAAATATCATGAGGCCATGTCCTGACTCAACAGGGGAAAGGCAGCCGTGATCAATTAGTGATGCCTGCCATGACAGTAGGCTTGGTAGGTGGTGGCAAACATGCCATGTATTAGTCATTCCTGGGTTAGAGTAGTTTTCCAGCATTCTTCAGTCCGTCACTTGAGAGATGCCAGGATGCATGGGGCAGGGGGCAGTTCTTTCACATTCCTCAGCACTCCCTGGCCATTTTACTGGCTCAGTCTTCCCTCTGTCCATGGCCTGCCTGCAGCCACGTTACACACATGCTCATGTGCATACATGTGCATGCACACACCTGCAGTGCACACACCAGCCTCCCTGACACCTCTTCCCCTGGAGCAACGAATCCCAGGCTCACAGCTTGCTGCGGCCAAGGTGACCTCCAGCCCTCTGCCTCACCTTTCTAAATCCTTTCCTTCCCCTCCATAAAGGGGCCCAGTACCCTCAGGCCAGCTCCCTGTGGTCCGGTCCTCAAGTCTGCGCCGGAAAAGACTCAGTTATCAAGACCCCCATATGGCACCAACCATGGTTCAGCCACTCGCGCCACTTGTGTCTTAGTTCCTCCCCCGCCCCCTAGGAGCCAGATTGTGTCCCTCCTAGATGGTGCTTCAGACACTGGGGAGCAGGTACTGGAGGCTTGGGGGCAGGGGGCTTTCCCCAGGGGCAAACCATGTAAGCACAAGGGAGTACCTGGTGGCAGCCCCAAGGATAACTTCCAAGCACCCTGAAGTGTTCAGGTCCTGCTGACCTGAGAGCCCTCCCAGCCCTAGGACTCTCAGATTTTAATTCCACACATTCTGCGAGGAGCTGCGCAGTGTCCTGATCCAAGCCGGCCTGACCCAGTGCAGTGGCACCCTCTGCTGCCGGAACACCGCACTGCCTGCCAGCTGGCAGGGCCAGGGTCTCCACACTGCTCTCGTGGGGCCCTTTCCTGGCTCCCTTCTACCTCGGGGAGGAGACCCTCATTCTTCTCACCCGTCCCAGAACACAGGAAGACTCAGTAACACCTGTCTCCTGTCCACCTGACCCTGCTCTTCTCTCTGTGGAGCCTCCTGGGGTCCCCATACAGAGAGCCTGAGATGAGGGACCTGGAGTACCTTCAGCTGACCCCAAGGTCCTCGGCCACATATAAAAGCCCCAGCCCAGGTTAACCTCTCAGACACTTCTACCAGACAGACAGGCAGCAGAGTGCAGAGGGGCACAGGCTCAGCAGTCAGGCTGCCGCACTGGAGTCCTTCACCCCAAATAGGCAACCATAACCCAGGGCAACACACACAACCTCACTGAAGGACCGTTTTCCTTCTCTGTGGAGTCAGTGATAACAAATGAGATGAAACGGTCCACATGAAGGGCCTGGCGCGTAGTAGGTGCTCAATGGACGTTAGGCCCTGCTGATTTCAGGCATTTGGCACCCCACCTAAGCCAACACCAGCCACACCGTCATCAGAGCCCCCCAGAACCCTGTTCTCTGGGCAATTCTGAGTGGGCAGCACAGCCTTCACTCTGGACCACCCCTGGAGTGTCCCAGCTCAGGAGCAGAGGGGGTGCCACTGCCCTTTCCCTCGCCAGGAGTCCTGTTTCCTGACCAAAGCGTCATCCTCTTTTTCTCACAGGTGGAAACGTGGATGGGAAGTTCAGCGTTGGTTATCGAGATGCCGTTGTGAGAACGGTGGTGAGCCTGGACCGGGAGACCACAGCCTCCTACACACTCGTCTTGGAGGCCATCGGTAGGGACCACCCCATGGCACACCACCAGCACAGCTGTTCCGGGCTGAATTCATGTAGGGTGCCCTTCCAGGGGCCAGCCAGGCCCTGAGCCAAAGCCTCTGCCCTGAGGCTGGTGAAGAAAGGGCGACCAGATGCTCAGCGTTATTACTGAGCACTTTCTGGGCGTGAGGCTCACTGCGTGGTGCTGCATGCAAGATGCTAAGATGCTGTGGCGGGAGCTACAGGAGAGTCAGATGGGAGACCAGCATGTAGACAAATCACTGAAAAACCAGGCATAACAAGGCAGAGAGGGAGAGAGGATGGCGCAAGGGTAGCGGACACAAAGGGCGGTGGAAACACGCCGGGGGCAAGGGTGATCAAGCAAGACATCTTGGACAAAGTGGCATCTGGGAGTGCGTTTGGATCAGTTAGGACTCTTGGTCACAAATTTTAAAATAAAATAAACTGACTTCAGCAACGTGGACTCACAATGCCAGTCCCCCAGGAGATAGAGCTTCAAGTATGACTGGATTTGGGGCTCAGGTGTAGCCACCGGGCCACAGTCTCTCTGCACTGGCTGGCACTGCCTCCTGTGTGTCGGCTTCATGCTTTGGCTCACATAGTGACAAACTGTTGCCGCAGCCCCAGCCTTAATCCTCTTGGGTTTGAGTGCAGCCATCTCCCCTGCTGAAGCCCGCAGACAGGCTCCGATAAGTTCCATCTGCCCCGGCGCCTGTCCCTGCGCCCCTCCTTGTGGTCAACAGGAGTGAGATGTGCTGGTTGGTTAGGCAGAAGTCCCATGCCCGTCCCTGGGCCTGGGGGGCAGTCAGACCTGCCTAGAACCTAGGCCTCAGGGTCGGGTTCTTGATGGGGGGCCTTCTGGGCGTGGACTTGCTTGAGACAGCAGGACGTGCTGGTGGGCGGAAACAAGGCACGCCCCCCACCACCTGGAAGGCCAAGGAGGGCTTCAGTGTGTGGAGAAGCGGGGAGGGTGTTTCAGGCAGAGAGAGCAGTCCAGGCAAGGGCCTGGAGGTGGGGAAGCAGTGGGGGAGGCGGGGCAGCAGCCAGCCCCTGATGTGGCACACATTGGGCAGGGAGGCTCTGACCAGATGGGGACAGCCTGTGTCTGCCTAAATGTTGGGCTGGAAGTTTGGGCTTTGGTTTCCAGGCAGCAGGGAGCCCTTGAGGACCCCAGAGGGGAAGAAGGGTATGATGAGGCCTGTGTCCCCCAGATGCCCCCAGTCCTCCCAGGAGCACCCTGTTCAGTGTTTGCAGTGAGCTCTGGGTGAGAGGAATGAGCTCCATGCCTCACTCTTTCCAGCCAGCAGTCCCTCCCCAGCCCACCCATGTCCACGTGCATCTTCCCTCGGCCCTGCCCTCTCCCCATCCTGGGGCGGCCACATCACCCTCGGGAGACGCATCATCTCACCGAGTCCAGCCCTCACGGCAGGCACTGATGGCAGGAGGAAAGGCCTCAGGCTCACACCTTCTGTGAAGCCTGTCAGCTCACACTGTCCCCAGCCAGGGCAAGTAAGCAACACCCCCAGAGTGGCGGGAGGCAGGTCCTGGAGAGGAACCTTGGAGGGCAGATGGCCTCCCTCGGGGTGGGTGACTGCACCCCAGCATGTGGTCAGCTGACCTGGGGAAGAGGATGGAGTCACCTCTGGTCCTCAGCCAACTCCAGCTGCCCGTCCTCCTCCCTGGAATGACCACCCTTGCCTGGACACGCAGTGCTGGGCACAGGCTCCTTCCTCCAGGGAGGATGACCCACCAGCTGCCTCCAGGCTGAACTGCTTCCTTGGCCCTGGGAGGGTCCTGCAGGAGACCAAAGGGCAGAACCTCTGGAGCCTCAGGCTGAGAAGAGGCAGGGCCGCCCCCCCCCCCACCCCCGCATGCTGAGCGCCCCCCGGGCCAGGTCTGTCCTGTAGGCCTGTTTGTTTGACCTGTCTTGTATTTCATAAAGAATGACAATTAGTTGTGAACATTTAAAAATCAGGAGATTTTATTTAAAACCTCAGATATTCAATTTCTCTTGAGAAATCAGAAGCTCTCGTGTCACTGGGCCCACCTTGTGCCTGTCTCCTGTGGACGGGAGCAGAGGACAGTGGCCCCGTGAGGCGGGCTGCCAGGTGTGCCACGTGGACCTTACCCCCCCTGCACCAGCAGCAGTTGGGTTTGTCACCTCAGCACCTGTGTCTGTTTCCTGGGCTGCTACAACAAGTTACCACAAACTTGGTGGCTTAAAAGAATGAAAATTTCTTCTCTCATGGCTCTGGAGGCCAGAAGTTCAAAATGAAGGTGTCAGCGGGCCATGTCTCCTGCAAAGGCTCTTGGGAAGAATCTGTCCTTGACCACTTGGCTCACGGCTGGAGAACTCCAGTCTCTGCCTTAACCTTACAAGGCCTCCTCTCTGTGTCAGGTCTCCCTCTGCCGTTCTCTTATAAGGACCCTTGTCACTGGATTTATGGCCCACCCACATAATCCAGGATACCGCATCTCAAGACCCTTAGCTTAATTACTTCTTCAAAAACCCTTTTTCCCAATAGGTTTACATTCACAGGTTCCCAGGGATTCAACATGGGTATATATATATATATATATATATATATATATATATATATATGTATATTTTAGGGGCCCCTATTCAACCCACTTCATGCCTCAGTTTCCTCCTCTGTAAAAAGGGGTAATAATAACAGTTCCTACTTCACAGGCTTGTTGTGAGGACTAAATGAGTCAGAATGTGCCTGGGACATATTAGATATTGCTGGTGTGATTCCTAATCTGAGAAGAAAAACAGCCACCTTGCAGAGGCCAGGGTGGGGAGTGACAGCGCACATGCCCAGGGAATTTCCCCTCAGGCAGCTGCTAACCCGTCCTCCTTCACGTCCCACAGACAACGGCCCCGTAGGCAAGAGGCGCACGGGCACAGCCACTGTGTTCATCACTGTCCTGGATGTGAACGACAATCGGCCCATCTTTCTGCAGAGCAGCTACGAGGCCAGCGTCCCCGAGGACATCCCTGAGGGCCACAGCATCGTGCAGGCAGGTGGCCGTGGCCCCCTGGGGCAGGTGGCAGGCTGGGGGCAAGTAGGACCACACTGGGCTCTGAGTGCACACACGCTGGGTAGCATTGTGTCAGGGCGGGATGGAAACAGGAGAGGGTCCAGCTCCTGCTCTGGAAGTAGCCAGTGCTGTGGGGAGAGGGGGACCCAGGCTCCCTCCTCCCTCCTGGGGAGAGTAGGCTCCAGGTTTTGTAGTCAAACAGGGTCTGGCTCCCCAAAAAAACAGAAGGGAGGCCTTGGCTGCCCCTTCCCCTCTCCCCCACAGCTCTCTCCTCATCCCCAACCCCACCCAGAAGGGCCTTCCAGAGCAGGGAGGAGCTAGAGATGTCACATTTTCCCAGAAAGGAGTTGAGGGGAGAGAGCCAGGGCCCAGTGAGGCCCAGAACAGAGCGGCTTTCATGGGCACTTGGCGAAGCTCCCCTCCTGGGCAGTAAACAGGCACCAGAAGAAAAGGTTCCTTTGCCCAGAGAGCAGGAGCGACAGCGCTGAGGCTCGGAGGGAGAGAAGGAGGCCCTGAAAATGAGGCTGGATGCCCTCCCCACCCTGCCCTGGAGCCTCAGTGCTGGATGGGGAGGGAAGCTGGAATGACTTCCCCTCTTCACCAGCTGCAGGGTTTTCCAACTTGGAGGCTGAGCCAAAGGCAGCAAATCTAGGCCTGTCCACTGGGGCAGGCTCCCGGGTTTGGGCGGGCAGAAGAGTGGGAGGCTGGGAGCTTGCCCACCTCCCTGCACTGGGGCCAGGACAGGGGCAGGAGAGATGCTGAGAGTCCAGGAGCCATGGGGATCTGCAGGAATCTGGGGCTGGTGCCAGAAGGTCCATTGCCTCTGGGCCTCAGCTGCCGGGGCTTGGAGAGCACCCCTACCACCAAAGCTGTGGTCCCGTTTCCCCGCAGCCTAACGCCTAATACCTGCCACTGCTGGCTCCCTGGTGGGTCTCCCAGGACCACCCTGGAGGTGGACATGGGGCTGTGGCCAGACCTTTGAGAGCCCCCTCCCCATCTCCAGCCTTTTCCTCCCCTTCAGGCCTGAGGGCAGCCTCACCCCCACCCCTGGTCTCCAGGAAGAGAACACCTAGTGCAAGCAGAGCCCCCTAGCCAGGGGATGACATGGTGACGGGCCGCAGGTGGAGTTCATCCTGGGATGTCTCAGGGAGCCCTGGGGGAGGGAACCAGGAAGAGGTTAACAGGTTAGCCAGGAGGGGTCACAAAGCCCTGTGGGAGGAGGCCTGCCCCACTTTCTAAACCCAAAGAACTGGTTTCTGTTTATACAACACTCAGCCTGAAATGCTAGAGCGTGTGAGTAATACAGGGCAACCCTCATTCTCCCCTCTTCTCAGGGAGAAATTCAGGCACTGGTAACTTCTCCAAAGCACTGAAGGAAGCTTCTGGCCAAGCTGGACTCACTCTGGTGTCCAGTTGTGCTGGAAGGAGGGCACAGTGGCCTCTCCAACAGGGCCTGCTTGGAGAGAAATCTCTGTAGGGGCATCCAAGGGAAGAATAGGGCTCCCCAGGACTCCTTCAGCTTGGAGGGGTGGGGACACCCCATACTGGGCCACCCTGCACCCAGTCAACAGAGCCCCCAAACTTCTGTGCCCGGAGCTGGTGAGGCGGAGTGAGGGGTTGGACACGGTCTCGCTCTCTGCCAGCTCCCAGGCGTGTAGGAAGGATAAGACACAGGCAAGGATGACCCACACCACCAAGAGGAAGTTATCCATGTCCTCCCTCGGAGGGGTGTGTCGGGGAGGGGCAGTTCTAGGCAGGAGGTGGCTGTCAGCTGGATAGCAAAAAGGGCTTCACAGAGGGTGCCCCATGTGAAGCATAACCCACGGCCAGGCCAGGACAGGTGGTTCAGGTGCCTGGAGTTTTGGGTCAAGATGAAGCTAGACAGATAGTTTGGAGCCAGCTCCCACTGGGTGCCAAAGGCCAGACTAAGGAGTTCTGGCTTTATCCAGCCAGCAGTAGGGAGCCAACGAAGGTTTTGGAGCTGGAGAGTGGAAAGCCCGGAGAAGACTTGGCTAGCTGCACTATGGGTCACAGCAGGGTGGCGTGGGACAGCCCTGTGGTGGGGCACGAGGTGGCCCTGGCCGGTGGACGCTCTGGGGCAGGAGCTAGGCAGCTCAGATCCCCTCTGCCCAATCTCCAAATTTGGGACCCAACCAAAGTGTTTAGCCCTGGCCTTGGGAGGAAAGGTTGACGGAGTGGGATTCCAAGAAGCTCATCCTAGGGTGGGATTGCTTTGAAAGGTAGGCAGTCAATGAAGCAATTGCCAAAAACACAGCATACCAAGTGTGGCCGAGGCCTGAGATCCCGTAGCTGCCCTGGAAAGCTCAGGACCCTCCCACAGGAGAGGAGGCCGCCTCCTTCCCTGGGCCAGGCATGGAGCCACTATAGCGTGTCCTCAGAGCCCAGGTGGCATCACCTCCAGCTGCTGGCAGTGCCTCCTGCCATTCTGACACAGCACTGGTCCTGGCCTCTGCAAGGAGCTTAACCCATTCATGATCCATCCTGACGTGGGTACATTGAAGGGGGGCTGCCAAGCTGGCCGCCAAGGTCATGATTGGCCAGGCAGTATTGAGAGCCTGCTGCTCGCCCCTCCTTCCAGCACACACCCAGGTATCAGATCTGCCCAGAGCGAGCGTGCTGGCTGCTCCCCTGGATTACTAGGCAAATGCTGGCAGGGCCAGGAAATCCGAGGAGAGGTGTCCCTGGGTTCCAGTTTGCCTCAGGCAATGAGTTGGCACAGAGATTGGGACAGTACCTTGCACCCAGTGTGGGCTGAGTATTCCACTTGGCTGGGGGGGAACCTTTGGCCATTCAGCAACCAGCACTGGAGTCCGAGCTGGGCTTTAGCACGTGGAGGTGGGCAGGCCTTCTGCTGGGAAGCAGGGCACTGCTCCCTGGAGGTGGGTGGTGCCTGGTTGCCAGGTCATACCCTCTAGAACCTCAGGCCAAGGGTCCAGATGGCTGCAGGCGCTCAGTAATTGGTCCAGCAATCCTTCAGCAACAGAGCTAGAGGGTCTGCAGAGAGGAAGGTATTCTTCCAGGGCCATCTCTGGGAAAGGCCATGGCCCTGCTCACATAGGGAACCACTCGGGGTGAGCATGTGGCCCAGGTTCTGTGGGCCGCTGCCCTCCTGCAGCCTGTGGTGCAGGGCTCTGTCCGAGGCAGGAGGATCCGGGCTGGATCCTGGATGGGGCGGCACACCCCATCACATCTTGGTAGATTCCGTATAGTCACAGTTGTGGTTGTCATCGTGGTCTGGCAGGGGTTGTTGAGGGGCCAGCCGGCCACGGTGGAAGCTGTGCAGGGAGCGGCGCAAGGAGCCCAGCCGCTTCCAGAGCCGGAGCCGGGGCTCGCTGGGTTCCCCAGGGTGGTGGGGCATGCACTCGCGAGCCTGGCGGCGGCTCGGGTCCAATGCAGCAGACTTGCAGAGGATCATGAACAACAGACAGGTGGTCAGCAGGAAGAAGATGCAGGCCAGGGCAAAGAGCACGGGGAGGAGGTCACCTGCCTCCATGGGTCTCCCTGGAGTGACAGGAGCTGTGAGGAAGGCGAGGGGGCTGGGGCCCTCTGTGCTCATGGCTCCTGCAACAGGAATGGGACAGAAGCTCAAAGGCAGATCAACTGGAGCCAGGGCTGGGGAGGGAGAGGAACATTGATGGGGGCTGGGTGCTGGTAAACTAGCTGCAGATAGCATCGTGGCCATTGTACAGGTGAGAACAATGAGGCCCAGAGATGTGACCAGTGTAAGGTCACAGAGCAGATAAGTGATGGAGCTGGGCCTAAACTCAGATCATTTTTCTGCTACCTTCCCCTGCCCGCTTGCCGCAGAGGAGACAGGAGGGTAATGCCTTCTGGCATTTTAAAATCAATTCTCATGAATTACAATAGAGTCTTAGACCTGAAAACTTGGGATCCAAGACCAACTCATCAATAAGTTGCTCTGTGACCAGGAACAAGTCATAGATTATAGGATGCTGCAGCTGGCAAGGACCCTAGCAATTCTCTAATAAGCTGCAAACTGGGGGCCCACAGGTATGTTTCGTGGGGTCCTTGCAGGGCTTTTATAAATTTAATTTTGAATATTTTAAAAAACACAAACGAAAAACTAAAAGATTTCACATAAATATCTGAACGTCTGGCTTCCTTTGAAATTTCAGAATTTCAGTAGCGGCAACATGGGACCAGATGCTGCCTGGCACCCAGTGGCTGGGGCTGAGCAGCATCTGCCCCCTTTAGACAGGGCTCTGGCCCCCACTCGCCACACTCCCCCATAGGCCCACTGCACACCTCACTTCACCTGCCTGGCCCCATGGGCATTCTGTTGGTGCTTCCTGATACAGTCTAACCTGCTCACATGACAACAGAAGAAACTGAGGCCCACACAAGAGGCCAAGCCCAAGGCCACACTGTGAGCCAGTGGCCAAACAAAGGCCAGGACCAGGTTTCCCATCTTCTGGCCCTGTGGCCTCGCCACCCTCTGACTCCCAACCCTCTCTCAAGGCTCACTGAGCTGCTCCAAGGACTGGTAGGAAACAACCTGCAGAAAGCAACAGAGTTCACGAGGTGGGGCTCGAAGCCCCCCAGACACCAGTCACCTGTTGTCACTTAAGATCATCCCACTAGAGGGAGCGTGACAGATGGTCCTTATAGATGGAAAATCAGGCTGAGCTTTTGGTTGAATATGTCTGAGCTAGCAGATGAATAGGCTGGTGGAGCCTGGCGGGTAGGTAATGCGTGACCAAAGAGGACAGGTGGGCAGGTGCACTGGAGCTCACTGGCTGGGCCTCCCGCTGGCTGGAGGAGCCTCACCGGGCTGTCACCAGGTGCCGGCCCCAGGTGGTTGGCTCTTCCAGTTTCCTAGGAGCAGCCAGGAATCTGGATTTTTAGGCAAACGTTCCTGATGTTTAAATGTTGGCAACAAATTCAAATTTGGTTAAGTCAAGAGAGAAAAAAACAAAACAAAACACTGCAAAGGCCAAACAAACTTGACTCCAAAAAAATTTTAAAGGAATTTGCAAATATTTAAAACACTACAACAGGCCAAACCGAACACGTAAACAGGCTACGTCCAGCCTGTGGCCAGCAGGTGTGAGCCTTGATCACTACAAACAGAGGACAGGAAATCCAAAAGAGGGTCTAACAGAAAGGAATCATTTATTTCTGTGTGACCTTGGAGCCGGTGGATGAGGGGAGAGATTGCCCTCCCTTTCCCGGCCTGCGGCTTAGTCTAACTCACAGTCAAGTTTCTAGCACCAACACTCAGCAGGAGGGAGCCCTTCAGGTCACGCCCAGGCGCTGCATGTGGTGGCAGAGCCCCTGTCGGCAGGCAGCAGAGACTAGAGTGGCCACCTGGCCCCACCCCACTGAGCCCCCGGCCCCAGCCCAGGCACTCACCAGCAGTCGCAGGACCCAACTCCCGGCTCCTGCGCCAGCCTCCTGTCTGCGTGCAGCCTCAGTGCCCAGCCGACTGAGGGCACTCCCTGCACCCCACCCCACTCCCACCCATCCCAGCATTTCCAGACAGAACATGCATGACCCCTCCTAGCTCCCAGCTGGAAACTTTGATGCCGGCCTAACTGCCCGGGGCCTCCGCCTTTCAGGCACTGGGCCTAGAGCACGCACTCCGGCCCAGCTGGCAGCCATGCGTGGGCTGGCCTTTCCTTGAATCTGAGCAGCGAGGAGGGATGGGGTGTGCCCATCGCCATCTCCCATGGGGAGAAAAATGGCCATCCCTCTTTCCTACCCTGGGCAGTGCTTGGCTGGGAGTAAGAAAAGAGCAGTCTGAAACAGAGGAAGTCTCAGTCCTTCTAGGCCTAATGTTATTTCAAGGCCTTCACATGCATCTGGAGACCTAATCAGGCTAGCAAGGCAGGTCCAGCCTTCAGCCCCTGGGGACATGATTTAATAAAAAGATAAGTGAGGCTATATTTAGCATCTGAATAGTTCCCTTGGAAGCAAGAGATTCCAAAGTGCTTAAAAACACAAGCGGCAGGGCCCGCTTGACAGGCCCGCTTGACACTCCCGCTGACCAGCCAGCAAGGGCCAACTGGTTCTGGGAAAAGGAGGCCTCCACCAGACCAAGGCTAGGAATCGTCGTGAGGGCACCAAAGCATCTCCCTGCCCGCTGGGGCCCAGGGCATGCCACAGGCCCTGCTCTGGACATAGCTCTGCAATCTCAGTCTAGAACCTTCTTTCTTCCCTCAGAGGTCCTTTAGAGCAGGGCCTATGAGCAGAAGGGACTGAGGCCAGAGCACATCTCTCTGTGTGGCCTCAGGCTAGCCACTGCCCCTCACTGGGCCTTGTTTCCCCTCTCTGCAGAAGCAGAGGGGCTCCCCAGGTCTGAGCATACCCGCGCATCCTCCCCGGAGAACCGCTGCAAGGATCTGGCCCCACTTTCCTCACCAAGCTACTCCTGCAGCCCCCAGCACTGACCTCAGAGCCAGCCCTCAGCAGTCCCGAGCTGGGTGGAGAGGTCTTCTCAGCTTTCCAAGGGAGGCCCAAGGAGCACCAGGTGCCACCCACGACCCCAACACGCCCTGGGCTCTGCCGTGCCCTGAGCCCCTCAGCCAGGCTGGGCAGACTGGGCCGTCTCCCCTCACTTTCAGCTAGACCTGGCTTTGTCTAGAAGAGTTGGGGCCCTGCCTTAGGGAGGGGACAGCCAAGAGGGTAGGGATGGCAACTAGGCTGGGAAGAAGGCGGGGGAGCCGTCAGAGGAACGGAGTTCTCCTGAGCTTCCCACGGCCTGTCTCTAGCCTGTCTCCTTGGAGCCCTCTCAAGGGGTGGAGGCGCTGGGGCGATGCAGCGGGTTTCACTGCCTCTGCGGCCCCAGCTCTCACGGTCCCCCGTGGATGTTGAGTGGTACGGTCGGGTGGCAGCCAGCAGTCTGCTATTCAGTGCCTGCCAGGCTCCAGGTTACCGGGGAGAGGGTAGCCACGCAGCAGGGAGGAACAGGAAGAAAGATGGGCCTCGCAGCCCCTGAGGCCCCTCCTCCCCTCCTGCGGCGTCCCTGGGTGCCTCACCCTCCAGGCTTCTCCCTCCGCTTCCTAGTAAAGCATCTTGCCTTTGATGGTGTCTGGCTGCAGAAGGGAGGGGTGCGGGGCATTTTCAAAGGCCAAAGAGATCACAGGACAGAAAGCACAGGACTAGAGGACAGCCAAGACTGCTCCTCAAGTCTGGGTGGACCCTTGGAGACCCTCCAGGTGGTAGGCTCTCCACACACATATGCACACAGACACACACGCATGCACGCATGCCCTTCCCCCAGCTTCCTTCCTTCCTGGAAGCCAGAGCTTCCCTGGCAACCAGCTGCCTGTTTAGAAGCCTAAGTTGTAAGCAGCTTCCCCATCAGGGCCTCCTAAGCTCCTAGAAATACAACATGGGGAGAGTTGTGGCTCTGCCCACACCTTTTGGAGCCCCTGTTTTTGGTATTTAGCTCCTCCTTGCCTTTAGTCCTTGACCGCAAAAGAAGCCTCCTCTGCACAGCCCCAAATGGATGGGAGCCTTCCATGGACTGTCAAAGTCTGTTAGATACTGAGGGGTCATCACATCCAGCCCCCTGTCTCTCAGATGAGGAAACTGAGGTCCAGAGAGGTGTGGCCTGGCCAAGGTCACCCATCAGTCAGTGGTGGGGCATTTGGTGCTTTCCCCTCCAAAGGGTGGGCAGGCATCTGGTGCTATGTGCAGCATCAGCCTAAAGATGTTCCCAATACCCAGAGCCCCCAGTGGGATTCCTGCATCTTACCTCCGTCCCTTCACTGCCCCTCACTTTCCTTAACCTTCTCTTCCCAAGCCGACTGGACACCTCATCTACGGCCCCCATTTTCCTGAGATGGCAGGAGGCCAAGCTCCCAGGGGGGTGCAGGCTGCTGAGGCAGGGAAGCATCAGGGAAAGCTCACCATGGATAGAGACGCCCAAGGGCATCCTCTGGACAGCTTGGCCCTCTTGCCCGTCCTGATCCCTCCCAGATCTGGACTGTTGAAGCACTCCAGTACACCCCTCCACCTTCTAGCTCTTAAGACTTCTCAGGGAGGGGAGAGGAAGAACCCCATAGCAAGGGGCAACCCAGCCATCCCCTCTCCAGTATAAATCAAATGGGCCTCCCAGGAGAATGTGGCATAATTCATAATGTCCAACCTTCTACATCTGTTCCTGTGCCAGCCACCAGACAAGATGCTTTGCAGACATTATTTCTAATCTTCCCATCAACTCTACAAAGTTGGTTATCATTGTACCCATTCTACAGATAAGGAAACTGAGGCTCAAAGGCTCATTACTTATCCATGGTCACATAGCCAGTAAGTGACAAAGCCAAGTTTTACACTTGGGCCTGCCTGACTGAGACACCTTGTTCCTTTCACTCCAACGTACTTCCCCTCCTCCCCACCGTCAACATGCTTTTCAAAATCCTTAGACACACTTGGCCCCTGGGTGCCGGGGTCTCACCAGGCCCGCACCTGCTGCCAGGCTCATCATTCTCATACTAGCCTCCATCCTGTCCTTTCTGTGCTCCACATTCTGCTGAGGCTCCCACTGCCCCAGAGAGAAAGATCCTTTGCTATTCATTGAGGCACGTGTTCCACTCATCCAACCACATGCCTCTGCTGTGTTCCAGTGTGAACCTTTCATTCCAGACAGACCGGGGTCCCAGTCCCTTGCTCAGCCCTCCTCAGCAGCCTCTACATTTGCTCACTCTGTTTCCTGGCCTGAATATTCTTCCCAACCCTCTCTTGCTAAGCCTGGTCCTTCCCATCCTTCCAAACCAAACTCCTCCTCTGGAAACCTTTAGCCAGTCCTATCCTTGATGGCCTCTGCTGTCTAGATCTTTGCAAGTAGGAGCCCATCCCCTCTTCCCTGGATCCCCCACTGTGCCTGGCCCAGGGCTGTGCACACAGCACACACTTGTCAGAATTTGTCCAGTGTGCCAAGATGGGAGAGCCTGCATTAGGGCTTCAGGGGCAGGAAAGAAAAACTCAGTGCAAATTCACTTGGACAGAAGGGAAAGTGTGCTGGAGAGATGCTGGGATACCCCACAGACTCAAAGGAAGAGTCAAATGGGGAAAGGTGGAGGCGCAGCTGGGCCTCTGGCATCACTGGGACCGGGGAGCCAGCTACTGCAGTGCTCTGTGCTGTGTGTCCTTCACCTCTGTTTGCCGAATGTCGCCTTTATTACCTCTCACCAGAGATCTGCTACTAAGTCATTCACATATTCATTCAACAAATATGTGACCCTAGTTTCTGCCAGGATTGTTGTTCTAGAGACAAGGGATATAGCAGTGGACAAGCCCCTTTTTTTTCCATGGGGAGGTAGACAGAAAGTGAAGATACAGTGTATCAGAGGCTGATGGGGGTGGGAGAAGCCAGGGTACTGGAGTGGGGGCTGCAATTTCAAACAGAATGGTCAGGGAACGCCTTGTGAGAAGATGACATTGAAGCAGAGACCTGAGGAAATGAGAGAGGGAGCATGCAGATCTCTGGAGGGAGAGCTGACTGGGCAGCGGAAACGGCGAAGGCAAAAGCCCTGAGGCTGGCTTGCACCTGGTATTCAAGAAATAGCAAGGAGACCAGCGTGGCTAGGGTAGAATTAGTGAGAAGGGAGTGGAAGACAAGCTCAGATACTCCTACTTCTTACCACTAGGAAGACCGACACTCTTTCTCTGGGCCCAAGGTCCAAAATCCCAGAGAAAGATGTGATTAGCCCAGTTTTGCTCAGGTGCCATCTCCTGGACCAGTCACTGCTGACCATGATCAGTAAGAACCTGGCAGCCCCAGTGCACACCACAGGGTTGACGTGAGAAGGCAGAGCCAGAAGAAGTGAGAGGGTCCGGGGCATTACGAAGCAATTCACCACAAATCACACAGACAACATACCGTGGCCCTGTGGGCATCTTCCTGCATCACCTGGCAGGGGTGTTCTCTCCTTGTCTCAAGCGTACAGTGGTAGAGCAGGTGTTCAGTTCTTGGCTTGACAGGACTTGCCTTGGTGCCGGCTGTGGCTCTGCCAACAGCCTCAAGGCTGGACTCCTTATAAAGAGGGCTGTGCACTGGGCAGTGTCTCAGAGTGAGAACAGCACACTCCCAAGTCCCAGAGGAGACAGCACATAAGCCTGAGGTACAGCCACGCAAGCCGGGCTGATTGGAAACTAGACTGGAGCGATCCTGTGGGTAAATGAATATGGAGCCATTCTTTGGGAGGTGGGATTTCTGAGTTTCCACAAAGTGGCTGTTACAGTAGACAGTGCCTGCCCTGGCTGGGACCCAGTGTGGCCAAAATGGCTTCAGACCAAAGAAGTGTGGGCAAGAAGCAGCCACCCTAGGTGAGGCTCCTGGGATCTCAAAAGGTCGAAGGAGGGAACTGTGGAGGTACGGACTGACCTAGTCAAGCCTGGATCCAGAGAGCCCTGGTGCCATCAACCACCTTCTCCCTCATCCTCCCTAAGAACCTGGAAGAGGATCAGGGAACAGAGCTGGCAGGTGCCCTGCCACAAACAGGGCAGCATGGAGCCATCAACAGTCAGGTGTCCTCAAGCAGGATGTGAAAGACAGACATGCCCCTCTCCTCTCCCATGCCCTCAGCTCTGTGGGAAACCACAGGTTTGGGCAAGATAGGGTAGGGTGGTGTGGAGGCGGGGAAGGGCACCAGAAACTTCTCTCCCTGTGGGGTGGAATTCGAGTGACCACATATCTCATTCTCCCTCAGCTAAAAGCCACAGATGCCGACGAGGGCGAGTTTGGGCGTGTGTGGTACCGCATCCTTCAAGGTGAGTGGGCTGCCTGGGAGGGCAAGGGCCAGCCCTTCTGCCTTTAGGATGGCAGAGCTTCTCTAGGCTGCCAAGGGTCTGGGAGGTGAAGCCAAGGAAGCCCTAAGCACTGTACACATGGGCAGGCCAGAGGGGAGAACCAGGGACATTCTCCAATCATTTGTACCAAGTTGGATGTCTTTTAAGTGAGGGTGCTGCATCTGGTTGCCATGCTCCTGAGGGTCCTCCGTCCCACAGTGCGATAGCACCAGAGGGGGGCGGTGAGTCTCATTGGACCAGCTAGAAATCACATGACCATTTGTGAACCAGTCACTATGGCCAGAGACTAAAATATGCTGACCTGCCCACTCCTGGAATCTGGGGTGAAATCACCCCTACACAAAGCACAGGGACTGAGAGTGGAGGAGGGTGGAGCCCTAGAGGAAAATCAGGGTGCTGTTACCGCAAGATGGTGAAATAGGAGCCAGACCAGCCCAGAGATGTCCACAAAATCCTCCATTCAACCACCCACAGAGAACTTGGTTTTGCTTCCTCTTTCTGCAGTGCCCCAGATCCCTTTGAAATGTTGAATCCACTGATACCTCTGGGTATGGGGGTCTCAGGGGATCCCCAGCCTTCCCTTAAGGATGGTATAAGGTGGGCTTCTGCCCACTCCCTCAAATCCTGCCTCCTTGCCATTGTGGGCTTTTGGCTAAGCTCCCAAGACCTTTGGACAGAGTCAGCATTCTTGGGGTCTGGGCCTCCCTCCTTTCCCCCCATAATCGCAGAGGCATCCTGCTGCAGGACAGAGCCCATGCAT